CCCTATTTTGTATTTTATTTGGAGACAGGATCTCCCTGAGTTGCTTAGCTCCTCACCATTGCTGAGGATGGCTTTGAACTCATGATTCTTCTGTCTCAGCCTCCCTTGCGGCTGGGATTACAGGTACGTGCCACGCACCCAGCTGCTCTCATCGTTGACAGCACCATCCGTTTTTTCCAATACCGGCTATTAGCAGTGAAATATTTTGTAAATTGCATTTCCAGTCCTCCCAAAGAATATCATTTTGATATGTAAACACTATTTTTCACATTCTTACAGAAACAAACCAAGAGGAGCAGGAAAAATGATGGTCACGCAATTGGCCAGTGTGTGCCTATTATCCACCCACACCCACAGTTCTCTATAAATACAGTCTTGCATCACTTCACCTCGGGGACACATTCTGAGAAATGCATGAGTGGACAATTTTATCATGTTTGTCCATGTCATCCTGAGAACATCAAGAGTTGTTCTTATGCAAACCTAAGTGGTACAGGTCAATCACTCCTCCTGGCCTCCTGATGTAACCAAGAGAGTGACATACAGGAGATGTGGGGGCTGCTGTGGGCCTAACAGTAAAGTTGTTTTTTTGTTTTTGTCTTTTTATAAGAGAAAGCTTTAAAATAATGATAAAAATGTAGTATAGTACATACATAAACCAGAAACATAGTCATTATCATAATCCAATATGATGTACTGTCCATAATTGTATATGCTATTTCTTTATGTGACTACCAGAGCAGTCGGTTCATTTAACCCTGCATCACCAAGAACAGGTAAGTGACGTCCTCTGACGCTAGGACAGCTACAGTGTCATTAGGCAACAGGAATTGTTCAGCTGTTATAATCCCAGGGGACCACCATTGTATATGTGTTCTACTGTTGACCAAAACGTCATTCAGCACAGGACTCAAAGAGTAACGCTAACACTGTAAGAGATCATTGGTGGGGAATTTAGCATATGCCATCATCCTAGGTACCTCACATGAAGACAGGAGTTTGATCTGAGCCAGGTGCAAACTGTTAGGTGATGAATCATATGGTGAGGAAACTGAGGCACAGAGAGCTTAGAGGCCTGCCCAGGGTTCCAAAGCTGGCAAGTACCAGGAAATCCCTGGACTACAAACAGGGAAGTGTCCTGGAAGGGATTCCCATGATGCTTCCAGATGACTTAACCTCCCTTATAACAGCAAGAAAAGAGGGCAGGGGGCACCCAGCAGTAGTGTCTCCAAAAATTCAAACCACTGAGAGCACCGAAGATGATAAGATTGAAAACATCAACAAGAAAAAAGAAGAATACCTGTGGACATTTTTAGGCGTGGCATTTATGGCTTGTTTCATCACACATTCAGGTAGTGTCATACCGGTGGGTATGACAAGGCCAGCGTCGCCTGAGGGACCTGAGGAAGGTGCAAATTGCCACTGTGAGACCCTGACCTGACCAGTGCCTGAGGCAAAGCCAAGCCCTGGGTTCTCAGCCCTGGCCATGTGAGAATCACTGGGAGAGTTTGGTTTGGGACTTGAGCGGTTTGGTTTGGTTTGGTTTGTTTGTTTGTTTTAAGCTGATATCTAGGTTCCCCTCCATGTCCCAAGGAAATTAATCAGAATATCAGAAGATGGGGCCCAAGCACCTCGGTTGGTTTTTGCTGGACTTTGTTTTGTTTGGCTTTTATGAAATAGAGGTCTCCTCATATGGCCCAGGCTGGCTCCAGCTCCTGGGTTCAAGCCTCAGCTTCCCGAGGAGCGTGCGTGGTGTGTACCACCACGCTCAGCTAAAGCTTAACTTTTAATTTCTTCTAGTGTTAGGGACTGAAAGTAGGACCTTGTGCACATTAGACAGGCTCTTCCCCCACTGAGCTACCCTCCAGCTCCTACTGTTACTCTCCCAGATAATTCCAGGGTTCAACCAACCTTATTATACACTTGAAAAAATGGCCCAGAGAAGAGGCACGATTCACCAAATGCCATGCATTGAGGAAGTGGGGGCTGGACTGATTCCAGACCAAAACCCATCAAAAACTCGACTCTTGGACCAAACTGGGGCACCCAGTCAGGAGACAGGACATGAAGACCCTGGGGTACATGGCACACTCAGAGCCTCCCACTTGTCTAGCTCACCTTGACCTGAGCAGGCTGATTTCTCAGCATCACATGACAGAGAGAGAAATTATTTTAATTTAATCCAGAGTTACATTTTTGGGGAAAAGTGTAATTGAAAGAAACATCTGCTAGGCATTTATTTGCCTCTCTCACCCTGCCAGGGGACTCTGAACTACTTGGGCCACGTCTATAGCTCAGACAGGCATTTCTCCGACGGAGATTCACGAAGCTCCTCTGTGGTACAGGGTGATGTCACTTCCCCAGATGGTAGTCAGCACACCTGGATGGGAGCCAGCAGCCTAACACAGCCCTGCCTCCTCTGTCTCTCTGAGGCCGAGTTCTCCACCCTTGGAAGATGTGACCAAGAGCACCCTTAAGCCAAATGATTTTGGAAATGGAACCAAGTGTCTATGGGAATCTATGCTTTGGTGAATCTGCTGACCACTGTCCATCACCTTAACGTTAATTGATTTGAGTCTCCAGAAACCTGTTTGTGGGCCAAGGATGTAGCTCAGTGACAGCGCTTGCCCAGCATACACGAGGCCAGGGGTCCATCCCCAGCACTGCAAGGGTGAAAAAGACAAAGAAACTTGTCTGCAAAAATGCCATAAGAAGCTGGGAGAGTTGTGTGTCCTTGTCTGATCATCTTGCCCCTCCGTTCTCCTGAAACTGCCCGACCCTTGGTTCAGGCCCTGTTCTTGCTATCTTCAGGCACCTAGAAGAAAAATTGGAGACTGCCCACAGGCTTCTTTTTCATATTGCCCAACCCACCCATTCAGCTCCCTCCCACGCCCTCTTTAACTCAAAACTGCTGGATTTCTCAGAGTCGGCCTCCATCAGCGGGCCCTGGAGAGCTCATCCTCCCCACACCTGGCATGATCCAACTTTCTAGTCTTTTCGGGTCTAATAGATGTCATGCGATATCTTGTTACTATAATTTGCATTTCTGTGCCTTGCAGTCAGCTATTTGAATCTTTTTTAGCTTTTGGTTCCATTTCCTTAGCATCCTGTCCCTCATGGCTTCCATCTCAAGCCAGGCAACAGCCTTCACTCTGTGGCCACCTCCTGCTCCCCTCAAACTTTGCCAGGCCACCTGCCTGAAGCACAGGCAGGAGCATGTCCCTCATCTGCATAAACTGCCTGCAGCATCCTTACTAAATATGGGGCTCCTCTGTTCTCCCCAGTCTTGCTCCTCCTCCTCCACTTTCCCCCACTGAGTGCCCTTGCTCTACAGTCCCACAGCCCTGACCTCTCCACCTGCAGGTCTATAGCCCTTGGCTCCCACTCTCTCTGCACCCCGTCTTGCTCCCCTCAAGGCCCACAATTGGCCAGGCTTCCCTGAGGCTCTTGTCGCCTGAGGTGTGTGCTCTTCTGAACCCCCTAGTGTTTGCCAAGGCTCACCTCTTTCCTCTTTTGTGTTTTGTGTTCTGTTCTCATCACACCTTCTTCTTCTTCTTCTTCTTCTTTTTTTTTTAATCCAGGGCCTCACACCTGCTAGGCAAGCTCTCTACCACTGAGATACATCCCCAGCTCTTTTCATTTTGTGACAGGGTCTTGTTAACTCTCCCAGGCTGATCTTAAACTTGTAAGCCTCCTCCTGAGAAGCTGGGTTACAGGTACGCGCCTTCATGCCCTGCTGTCCTCTACCTTCTTGGCTGATCTCTGCCCCGGTGGTAGGCTGCTGGGGGGGGGGCCCGGCTGATTCATTGCTCCCCATACCCCTAAGACTTTCCCATGCTGCAGCTGGGAAACTAGGAAGGAAGACAAGGAGACAGAATCTGGGGGTGGGGAAAGAGAAATGGAAGCCAAAGCTGGACATTCATTAACTAACTGGCTACAAGGAGAAGGAGGGGGAAAGATGGGAGGATACCTCCAGCTCCTTAGGTTTGCCAATTTGCCGGACGGAAACCCAGGAGGAGCTGGGGATAGAGCTTGGTTTAGACCAGCATGTGGCTGCTAAGCAGGCAGAGGCCAGTGTGTAGCTGAGGTGAGCTGAGCCCAAAGAGCAGTTTTGGGGGTCATCCGTGTGGAGGGGGCCCTCAGTTGGGATTATTGGGGAGGCAGAAATATAAGACCCCTAAAAAGGCTGTTGTGTAGGTGGTGGGTGAGGAACACTGAAAGTACAGCGGGGTGGGTCAGCAGCAGTGTCTCCAAACCCAAGGGAGAGCCAAGTGCGGTGGCACATGGCCATAATCCCAGTGACTCGGGGAGCTGAGGCAGAGGACTTTGAATTCAAGGTGAGCCTCAGAAATTTTGTGAGATCCTGTGTCAGAATAAAAGATGAAAAGGCCCAGAAATATAGGTCAGTGGTAAAGCACTCCTTGGTTAAATCCCCAGTACAGGAAGGAAGGAAGGAAGGAAGGAAGGAAGGAAGGAAGGAAGGGAAAAAAAGTAGAAAGAGGGAAAGAACCAAGGGAGAACAATTCCAGGGAATGAGCAGCCCAGACAGCCAGATGCTGCGAGAAAACCAGGTGGCCAAAGCGGCCCCGCAGCCCACCCGGCTCACCTGTCCCTGCCCTGTCCTTCTCTCCACTCTGTCCTGCATCCTCACAGAGTGGCCCTCTGTGTGTTTATCCAGCAAAGACACCTTTGCCCTCTGGGACTTCCTGTCATGAGAGCCACCAGCTGGCCTTGACCTTCCCAGGGCTCTCTTTCATCCTCCCCTTGCCACAGGAGGGCGCTGATGACACCATGCCCCGGCACGAAGCCAGGCCCTGCCTCGCTGGCCACCTCCACTTCTGTCATTTCCTTTGTCATCTCTGTATCCATTGAAAACAAAATTTCAAGGTGAGACATTGAAACACACATGTGGGTTTTGAGCTGGAGGGGTCCCTGGAGCAATGGTGGCCGCTCCTTGGGGCTGGAGAGAGGGGTGGGGAGAGGGAGTGGGATTGAGTCATAGCAAACCACTGGAGCCGGGGAGGTTTATTCTCCAGACCCTGGCGCAGCTTTCAAGGGTGCTTTGAAAGGAATAAGGATGGCCTTGTCGGGCCACAGACTCCGAGAAGGGATGATGGGAGAAGGAGAGGAGGAGGACAAACTGGGGAGAACAGGCTTGACTCCACCTCCGCCACCTTGGAGATGTGACCATGTCCCTTGCAGCAGAAAAGCCAAAGCTTTGGAGACCCAGCTCCCATCTACCCTGCCCCTTGCCCGGTCAGGCCCCAGCAGCTACTGTCCAGATTCTTAGATCCATCTGCCCTATAGCTAGGGCCCCACTGCCTGAGCCTCAATAGACACAGTGACTCTCACGGAGCCGCAGCTGGACTTCAAGTCCCACTCCTGACTGGCATTGTATTTCATCGCCAGGAAGCCTGAGCCCTGCCTAGGAGACAGCTGGATGTTCAACCAGCGACATTGGGCCTTGTCACAGGCCAGCACAACAGTGCCCTCGGGGTTGCTATAGGTGCACCTCCTCCAGACTGCCCTTTCCTCCACTGCCAGATCCCATATGTCCCCTAGCTCCCTGTCATCTATCCCGTGGACCTGGAAGCCCAAACGATCCCGGGTGACAGGACACACCAGCTGTTCTTCCTTCAAAGAGAGTACTGACTGCCCCTTGAGGTAGGCGGGGCCCCCACAGTAGGTGTTGATGTGGAAGAGATGGTCGCTGTACTGGAGCAGCCAGTTAAAGAGGTAGGTCAGGTGACAGTCACATTGCCAGGGGTTGCTGTGCAGGGCCAGGTTGAACAGGTTGTAGTTGGTGTCAAAGATGCCCCCCGGGAGGGTGGTCAGCTGGTTCCTGGAGAGGCTGAGCAGCTCGAGCCTGGACAGGTTCTGGAAGAGGGCTGGGTGCAAGACCGTCAGGTTGTTGCTGCCCAGGTAGAGCTTACCCAACTCCTTGAGGTCCCAGAAGACACCCGCCGGGAGGTGGGTGATAGCGTTGTGAGAGAGCGTCAGGGACACAAGGCTAGACAGGTTGGCCAAGGTGCCCTCAGTGATAGTCTCCAGCTGGTTGTGGGACAGGGACAGGCCCACCAGGCCTGGGTTGTGGGCAAAGAGACCCACAGGCAGCATCCGCAGCTCATTGCCCTGCAGGTTCAGAAAGGTCAGATTGCCCAGAGAGGAGAAGACAGAGGGTGGCAGGTGACGGATGGCGTTGTGCTGCAGCCACAGCTTCTGCAGGCAGAAGAGCCCCGAGAAGACATTTGGGGACAGTTCCCTGATGGCATTGCCATCCAAGAAGAGCTCCTGCAGTCTGCACAGATTGCCAAACACACCCTCAGGGAGCCTCGAGAGCATGTTGTTGCTCAGCTTCAGGGTCTGCAGATTGCTGAGCCTGCACAACAGCCCCCCGGGGAGGTGGGCCAGGCGGTTCTGAGCCAGGTCCAGGGTGTTCAGACGTGTCAGAGGCTGGAAGAGCCTCCCAGGCAGAGTCTGAAATCGGTTCCCCTGAAGCTGGAGGGACTCCAGGGCATCCATGTGGTGAAAGAGGCCCTCGGGCAGAGCCTCCAGCATGTTGAAGTTCAGGGTGAACTTGCCCAGCGAAGTCAAGTTGGAGAAGATGTCGGCACTGAGGTTGGAGAAGGCACTGCCCGTGATCTCCAGGTCCTCCAGCCTGGGCAGCCCCCCAAAAGCATCCGGCCCAAAGTGATGGAGCTGAGTGTTGAGGAAGACCACTTTGGTCAGGTTGGGGCTCCTGCTGAAGGCCCTGGTTCCCACTGTAGTGAATGAGGTCTCCACAAAGACGATGTCGGTGGCGTGTGGGGGGATGTCCAGCGGGATGGTGGCCAGCCCTTCATCTGAGCAGAACACCTCCCGGATGAAGCAGTCGCAGCCCACTGGGCAGGGCTGGGTGCGCCCGGCCAGGAGCAGGAGGGAAGCCCAGCACAGCCGGGCTCCAGGGAGCATCTTCCAGATCCAAGGAGGGAGAGAAAACAGAAGGGACACCTTTAGCAAGGGCAGCATGGCACAGTGCCCAGAGCACTGGACAGTGACCCTAGAGACAGGAATGGGCCGTGAGGGAGGATTCGCCTCATTGGGAAAGCCACAGTTGTGGTAACAGGGTTTTCTTGGTTTTTTGTTTGGGTTTGTTTTGTTTCTTGCAGTGCTAGGAATCCAACCCAGGGCATCACGCATGCTGGGCAGTGCCCCACTCCAAGCCCCTATTCATAGTTTTAGCAGCTGTTTTCATACCACCCAGAGCAGCCTTGCAAGATAGGTGGGGTGGGGTCTCATCTCCTGAAGATGAAGGTCTCAGGTGGCCTGACAAGTCACACCTGCAGGTTAGTGCCCACAGCAGAACCAACATCCAAGTTTTGCAGACATTCCATGTTCTCTCCAGATTGGAGAAAGCAAGGAAGAAAGGAGAGAAAAAGGCAGAGGAAAGATGCGTAAAAGGAGACCATGGGTAGTACAGAATTTTTCAAGATATTATGTAAACTATGGTAAGATCAAGCCATAAATAAGAATGAAATTATGGCATTTGCTGGTAAATGGGTGGAACTGGAGACTATCGTGCTAACACACGAAGTGAAATAAGCCAATCCCAAAAACCAAAAGCTGAATGTTTTCTCTGATCAATGTTGGTGGGGACATGACAGGGGAAAATGATGGGATGGGAATGGGAAAGACAGGGGAATGAACCAGAACTTTCCTATGTTCATATATGAACATACGAAGAGTGTAACTCCACATCATGTACAACCACAAGAATGGGAAGTTATACTCCATGTATGTATGATACGTCAAAATACATTCTGCTGTCGTGTACAACTAAAAAGAACAAATAAAACAATATATGGGTCGCTGTGTTGGGAATTTCCAAATGTAACTCTTCCAGGCCTGATGGTGAGGATACCCTTCCACCTGCTCTCTGCACCATCTCAGAGGGTGTGTACAGTGCCACACAGTGGCTCCTCAGCACTGCCACCAACTGCTCTTCTCAACCTGTGCCTGTCCCTCCCCACCCCACCATGTTGGAGCCCAAGAACTTTCCAGTTTGTGTGGACAGGAGGGTCCCAGACTTGGGAAGTCCACGAACCAGTAGACCAAGGGGTCCAAGCTTCCAGTGTGCCAAATATTAATCAAAAGCAAAACAAAGAAAAACCTGCCAGCACCTACTGACGCATCACAAATAGGTGACGAAGCTTACAAGTGCATTGTGTTTATTCCTCTGCAGTCATTTTTATTTATTAATCAATAGCTCACACATGAAAGACTAGGAAATGTCACATCAAAAGTCCACATTTTATGATGATCTGGGGGCAGTGGGCTCACATTTCCACCTGGCAAGAATAACCGGGGCTCAGTGCCCCAGTCCCATTAGGGGCTATGTGCTCTCCAGGCCATGATCCTGCTCACATCACTCATCTACAGGTTTGTAGTGAGTTCGAATCCCAGGGCCATCACTTTCTAGACATGCGACCTTGAGCATGTTACTTCACAGTCTGTGCTTCAACTTCCTTAAATCTAAGAAGTGGGTAATAGTAGTGTGTTAGGATAATTGGGAGGATTAAATGAGTAAGTATAAATAAAGGTTTTAGACCAGGGTCTGACAGTGCAAGAGATTAGTAAACTATGTAACTATGTTAACTATTATTAAAGTAAACTATTATTAACTATTATTATTAGAACTATTATTAGTAACTATGTTAACTATTGTTAAAGCTTGCAAGCCACAATCATTACAGAAAAGGCAATGTGAACAAAAAAGTAGAAAAACACAACATCTTCTAGATAGAATACATTTGGCCTTATCAAAATAAATTGTTTCAAAGAAAGAAAAGCCTCTTGCAGCATGACCCTAATTTTTCTCTTTACCTCTCTCTCCTCAACTGGAATTTACCCTGGTCCCCTGGAGCTGGCTGTCTCTCTGCTGCCCTCTGCTGGCTGCCTCCACCATCTCAAGCTTCAGCTGTGAAAGGCTGTTCCCAAGGTCTTCCTGCACACAGAGCACTTAGAAAGGCCAGTGTGCTTAGCCTCATCCATTCAGACACTCAGTGACTCTCGGTTTTCCCAGAAATGTTCTTTCTAGCCAGTAGAGAAGGGACAGTGTCTCCCTGAGAAAACGCACTCCTCCCTCAGGCGCCTTTGCCTAAACTCCAGGCGGTGGCATTAGAAGGGACTCCTGCAATGGCAGTTAGAGACACATGAGGGGAAAGGAAGGACCTCAGGCCAGTGTGTGTCCCCTGGGCCAGCAGTTATAGAGCTCAGCTTTTGAAGGAGACTGCTCTCAGGAGACCATGTGCATAGAAACCTAAATGCAGCGGACTTTGGCTGCGGCAGAATGGCGTCCTGTGCATGTCACACACCTGGGCCGCCTCTGTGGACAAAATCACCAGGGACTCTGAAAGACCAATCATAGATGTCCTTTCTGTGAGAAGATGAGTGTGCTCATCATCTCTCTATGCCTGGCATCGAGGGCACAAGTGACTTCCTGTTGGCTCAGTCAGTGTTGGCTGAATGGAACTCTCTAGACGGGGATGAGCAGCTTGGGAGGCACAGGGTCCTTCCCTGGAGTGCTGCCACACAGACCCATGAAGCACCAGCCAGGACAGGATCACAGCCTGGAATCTGCCCAACAATAAGAAACCAGCAATTCTTACTGTTAATGTGCCATGATGGTATCCAGGGACCAGTCACTCTTCCTGGCTAACCCCTTGGATTTTTGGTTCTCCAAGGCAGTTTCTGGAATAAAATCCCCCAGCATGCAGGGCCATCCAACACTAGGATTCGAGAGCCCTGCAGACTGTCAGGCCAGCCTCCTCACAGGACAGGGAGGCAGGCCTGGGGTGTCTGCAGCAGGGCCGGGTGGCACAACCCCTTTCTCCTGTGTTCCCACTTGCTCCTGCCAGGAACGCTGTGGCCAAAGTGGGAGGAGCACCATGAGGAGAACCGAGCTGGCTGCAGCATGTGCCTCCCGACCGAGCCCACCCCAGACTGTGTCCTCTCTCCCTTTACCTGGGTCTCTTGAATCCTGTCACCTGAAAATAGCACGTTTTAGAAGTTCCCAGAAAAGGCAGCTTGCTTGATTTCAGGCCTTGAAGCAAGACCATGACACTGGTGGCACAAAAAATACCATCTCCAGCAATGGCGGGAGGTGTCTGCCGACAAGGTGGCCAAGCCAAGGGCTTCTTCCCACCTGCCAGTTCCCAAAGCTGCCACATGCATCTTGGGCCTCAGAGCAAATCTAGAAGTGTCTAGGACAGGGAAATGGAGACTCCCATGCACACACTCAGAAACAAGGGGCAGGATCAAGGTGTTGCTGTGACCCCACCGGTTTCTGCGCCAAGACAGAGGAATGGCTGGGATGGGCAGGCCTGCCCCTCACATTTGCAGGCCCCAGGGTGAATGCATATCAGGGAACCCCACCCATGGTCTATGCCCTTCTCTTCCCACCTGAGTCTATGGTACTGAGGCCCCACCCACAGCTACTCCAAGGGACCATAGGCCAAGGTGTGCTCTTCTGTGGCAAGATCACCCTGGAGAACATGGGCCTGGTCCTGGGTAGTTGAAACATGGTTCAAGATGGGAACTCAGCCTCCAGTCGGCATGTGCCCCTTGGTCTTGACATCTTCTAAACCCTTGGGGATCTTATAGGAACAGGAAGGCCAGAACAGGGTCTTTGAAGGTTCAAGGCAAGACTCCTCTTGCCCTAGCCAACAGGGATGGAGTGGGGCTGCAGGGAAGGATACTAGCAATAAGGGTGCAGAACACCAAGAATTTCCAAATGATCCACTCCCGGCCCAAGACTCATTCTCAAATTGCTCTGGATTTGCTAAGAGTTTGTACTCTGAAGTCAGACAATCTGGACTCCAATCCTATATCCATCCTTAATAAACTGTGTGATCTTAGTTGAATTACTTAACCTCTCTGTGTTTCAGTTTCCTCACCTCCAAAACCACCTGCACAATACTGCCTTCCCTGTGGGGTTGTTGTGAGGATTAAGTGAGAGAATACATAGACAACTCCCTTCCCAGAGCCTGGCTGATTCGGAGTATTTAGCCATGCTAAATGCATCTCTATCCTCAGAGCAAATCTGATTCTCCTGAATTTAGCCAGCCTTAGTTTTCTTCCGAAGTAGTCATGGAGGTTAGCTCTGGAAAAACCGATGAGATCATCCAACCGCCCCACTCTGGACTGGAGAGATGCTTCTCAACAGCACTTTTTCTAGCCTCGTCCTCTCTGGCCAAGTGAAAGTGCATTTTTGTCCTTGATTTAGAGGAACAGACTCAGGCCCTTCCCAGCCCACCCTCAAGAGAGCAGGTCACTGGGGAGCTCCGGAGATGGGAAACACCCCACCAAAGGATGGTGGAGATGGACACCAGAGGGCCACCATGGGGAGGCAGCCAGAAGGTTCTCATCTGGGAATAAGACCAGCACATGTCCTCAAAAATGCTCCACACTCAGCAAGCCAAGGAAGTCTGGCCTATTCCATGATTTTAAACCTTTATTATTTATTTTTATTTTTTTGGTTGACTGGGTGCAAATGAACTCCTTCCTCTTCTCAAATTGCCCTTGGGTTGGTACATTTCTGTGTGCATTGCAAGCCAATCTGTCATCCACCACAGAGCTAAGCCTCACTCCTTCCAGAGGGTGACGGGAGCCCAGAACCCTGGCCCAGGTCCCCTGACTGTGTCAGTACATGCTGGATTCACCACTCGGGCTGCCACACATCTGGAAGCAGGATGAGGGGCTTCTGAAGCACATGGAAACCTCATCCATTTCCCCAGGGAAGATCTGCTGCTCCCAGACCTGGTCTCCCTCCCTCTCAACCCAAAGAAGTCAGTCAAGGGGCTGAGGCGGCAAACTGGGGCTGGTTGCCCAGCATGGGCTCCTATCCTGCTGGCCACACACACCTGCCCAGGTGTGACCCTTTAAGCCCCTGCTTTCACATTTGTAAATCAAGAGTGACCATGACAACACCAATCAGGACACCTAGAGTCCAGCATTATTAGGGCCAGTGTGGCACTGAAATGAGACAGCAGGAACCAGACTATCAAAAAATAAAAAATAAAAATAAAAAGAGCTGGGCTTGATGGCTCACGCCTGTAATCCCAGTGCTCAGGAGGCTGAAGCAGAAGGAGCGAGAGTTCGAGGACAGCCTCAGCCACTTAGTGAGGCCCTTAAACCTAAGCAACTTAGGAGATTCTGTCTCAAAATGAAAACAATAAAAACAGATAAATAAAAGAGACTGAGAAGCCGGGCACCGTGGCGCAAACCTGTAATCCTAGCAGCTCCAGAGCCTGAAGCAGGATGATCGCAAGTTCAAAACCAGCCTCAGCAACTTAGCAAGGCCCTAAGCAACTCAGCGAGACCCTGTCTCTAATAAAATATAAGAAAGGGCTGGGAATGTGTCTCAGAAGTTAAGCACCCTGGTTTCAATCCCAAATACCAAATAAATAAAGATACAGCCTAAATGTGCACCCTGGGGGCTTGGTTAGGTAAATTATGCTACACAGATGTAGTGCAAATCTTCTCTGCTATCTTTAAAATTATAGATATGTATTTAGTAATGTTTGCACTTTTTAAAATTGAATCTATGTAGAATCCCAAAATGCTACATTACCATTTTTAAGGTATATCCGTGCACTGAAAACAGATTATACAGAACATATTTGTAGTGGTTATTTCTGAAAAATACAATTGTGGGTGACTTTTTTTCTTTTGGTTAAAAATGTATGCTCTACATTTTGAAATGATAAACATGTATAACTTTGGTAATAACGGGGAAGTTATTCTGTTGTAAAAATGGAGATAGTCGGGTTAAAAAGGAGGCAGAACTCCCAGTCCCCTCCAGAAGGCTGAACTGGGTCACACTGGCTCACTGTGCACACACAAATGGGCCACCCCAAGTGCCCGACAGGGGCTTCCTGGAGCTCTGTACCTGTTGGTGTGGCATTGCGAGGCTCAGGGGAGTTTGTCTATGTGCCACGTAGGAGAGGAGGCAGCCAGAATTTTGAAACAAGAGGAGGTCATGAATTGGGTGCCATCACTCTCCCACCCCAGTCCCCAACTCCAGGTCCCACTGACACTGTGGAGCACCTGTGCTTGCCTTTTCTTATTGTCACTTTTTTTTTTTTTTTTTAACCCAGGGGCACTACACTACTGAGTCACATCCTCAGCCCTTTTTTGTATTTTTTATCTAGAGATAGGGCCTTGCTGAATTGCTGGGTCTGGCTTTGAAGTCTTGATCCTCCTGACTCAGTCTCCCAAACCGCTGGGATTACCGGCGTGCACCACCACGCCCAGCTCCTACTGCTGCCTTACTCCGTCCTACCCACCCTCCTAGGGCCGCACAAGTCCCACTTCCCCACTTCTTTGACTGCCCTTCCTTTGGATCCTTGGGTCTCTAGTCCTCTGTTGAAGGCTTGGGTCTTTCTGCTCTGCATTGTGGTCAGTTACACCCACTTCATTGAACTCCAGGGCGGGGAGGGGGGCCAGGGTTCAATGCTCCGCACTCATTACCTGGCCTGGGCTGGCAGAGAGACAGCACTGCTCTCTGGGACCCCCTAACTTCAGGCCATGCTCTGCGTCCTGCTTAGTGGAGTAGGAAAGCACTCTGGCTCTGCCAGGGCAGAGACAGACCTGGGTTCAAAGTCTGTCTCTGCACTAGCTACTAGTCATGTGGGCTTTGTCTGCTCACTCCATCCCTCCAAGCCTCAATTCCTCATCCATGATTGTAGCCCTCAGGGTCACGGCTGGTACTCAATTAGACAGTAAGAATAAAGCCCTGGACACTAGCAGACATTCAATAAAAAGCAGCTGTGTGCAGGTTTCAGTCCTAGGTGACAATAAACTTTATCATCTAAACCTGGACACTTATGGGAATGAAGAGGGACCTAGCAATAATTATGCCAGGTGACAGGTCTGGACAAGGGCAGATCCCAGCCATGGATCACCCTGATGATTGCCACTTAGTCAGGGACCAGGTGGTCATCTCCGAACCCCCGGCCCAGGCCTCCTCCTGCCTCCTTCCAGCCCAAGGAAGCCAAGCCCCTCACTGCTGCTCCTCCCACAGAAGGGGAACCCGGGTACTGCAGCCTGCTGGAGCTGGGAAATGCTCCCAAACGGGGAAGAGAGGAAAGCCTCTCTCCTGCCCCCCAGCCAGGACTCCAGGCCAGATGCCCCCACCACCCACAGACCCAGGCGTGGCCCCGGGAGCCCTACCATGAAGACTGAGCAGGTGGGTCAGGCAGCCCTGGATCTTCCTCCAGAGCAGAGGGGCGTCTGGTGCGGCCTGTGTTTGGCTGAATCCAGCCCCAGCCTTGATCAAAGTTCTGGACAGTGGTTCCTCCCCTCACGTGACCTGTTCTGGGAATGTCATCAGGGTCACAGGGCAGAGAGAGAACCTGGGCAAGGCCTCTGAAGATTACAAAATGACCCTAAGCTGCTCCCACCCACAGGTGCCTGGTGGGGCCAAAATCCTTCTAAAGTGGCAAGCTGGGCACCTTTGGGACCCAAGGCATCCACCAGCCCTGGAAGGCACCCAGCAGCTGCACTGGGGTGAGGGCTCCACCCAGGGTCCACTTCCTCTGGCCACAGGTCCCTCCTCCACTCTGTACACGGCCACTGGAGAACTAAGAGGGTTGTGTGTGTGTTGTTCTGTTTGCTGACTTGTTTGTTTAATGAACTAACTTTCTGAACCCTTTCTTAGTTAAAAGGGGAAAAAACTATAGAAAGTGAATTTCTGGCCCCGTATAAAGTGGAACACTTCCCGACTCAGGCTCTCGAAGGATGTTAGTCTCAGCTTTGGGAGGGAGTGATTTTCCCGCCTCTGGAGGTGTCCAGCCAGGGGCCGTGAAGCCAGCTGTGTGGAGAGTATACAAGTGCAAGTCAGAGTGTGCAAGGGAAGGACTGTGTGTGTCTACGCATGCATGATGACAATGTGTGAGAGTAACTGTTCGTGAGAGTGGGTGGAGGGTGTGGTGAGAGTGTATGTGTGCCCAGGAGTGTTCATATGATTTCAGGGGTGCAACCCGAAGCAAGCAATCGAAGATCATTTGCAACGCCAGGAGTCTTCCATTCAAAGTAGTCTGAGGGCTTTTTTTTTTTTTAACTTGTTGCATGGTATTAATATTCCGCTCACTCTTTACCAGGACAAAATAATATTTCTTTTGCACGTGAGCACACTGCCTTAGCCACGCTACAAAGATCTGACAGATTGTACCAAGGAAGCGTTTTTTCAATAGAGACAGGTTACAAGTCCACACTTGGCAGAGGAATACAGGTGTTTCTGAGCGGGACAGAGGCAGTGGACAGAGTGGACCCAGCCCCACTCTGGATGGCACCTCGGCTGGCAAGAGCAGGGTGTCAGCTTCCAGGAGGGGATGGGGAGGAAGAGGTACCTCTGGGGAGCCTCCCTCTCAGGTGAGGGAATGGACCTTTGTCTGAGCAGAATCTCAGGGCATCCACACCCCCAGAAACACAGCTAGTCCATTTGTCAACATGTTGTGGTCAACAAGAGAAATTGGGCATTAGAGAGATCAGGGTTTGAATTCTGACTCTTCAACTAGCCATTTGTAAGGGTTTTTGTTTTGTTTTGTTTTTTGTATTGGGGATTAAAGTCAGGGGCACTCAACCACTGAGCCACATCTCCAGCCCACTTGTTTTTTTATTTTGAGACACAGTCTCACTAAGTTACTTAGGGTTTCACTAAATTGCTGAGTCTGGCTTTGAACTTGTGATCTTCCTACCTCAGCCTCCCAAGCTGCTGGGATTACAGGCATGTGCCACCGTGCCCAGCATAACTAGCCAGTTCCTAGACCATGATTTACTCCAGATTCACCACAAGTCTCTGCATTCTCTTCTGTGGGATAGGTATGGCTGAGGGCTCAGGGAGCTCTGTGTGTGTGTGTGTGTGTGTGTGTGTGTGTGTGTGTGTGCATGTGTGTGCGCATGTGTACACATCCACGTGTGTGCACATGTAATCAAACTTCAGATAATGGGCGTGTGGGTCATGGAGTGAGATTTACATCAAGAAATCCAGAGATCCTCCATGAGATTAGGGATGAAGACTCTATTAATCTCAAATTTCAGGAACCTGTCCGAGTAGACAGAGATTCAATGGTCAGGGGACCACAGCAAGGTCCTGCCCTTCATCCCTGAAGGGGTCCAGCCATATAATCTGGTGAACATTATTGACCTCTGTCCTGTCCCAAAGTCCTGGGACAAGCTGACACCTGACAGGAATGTAAGCGAACACATGACAATCCCATGTGAAGGCCCTTTCCTGAGATGACGGTGTGTTAAGGAACAGTGGGCCCATCCCTGTTAGCATTGCTGTTCCTGCACAGCAGCTGTGGCACCCCTGGGACTAGAGGCCTGAGGGAGGCCTGGGGACATTTAGATACTTGAAGCGATCGCCTTCACTCCAAGGGCATATTCTGAGAGCCTGTGACTTGCTGAGCCTGGTGCTGAGTCCTGACGGGAGCTCAGTCCTGCCCTCCTGCCCTGCACGTGTGAATGTGTTGAGCAACCTGCGCTCCGGGTGGCACAAAAGAAACTAGAAGCCCAGGTCCCTTGCTCACTCTACCCCTGGTTCACCAGGTGATTCTGGGAGATTATTTCCTGTCTTGAGTTCTCGAAGCCTATGGAGATGATTTGTTATTTCCTTTTTGGTCCCCACTCACTTTCCAAAGTCCTGTTCTTGGCCCGGAATCTATTTTCTGTGAGGTGTTATACAGGCCAGGCTTGATCTGTGTGGCAAGAGCAGAATTCACAGGTGTGAGACACCCCCGCCCCCCCGACCAAGAAGTTCAGAGAGGGCACACGTGTCCTGGGTATACCATTTATTGTTGATTCTGTACACCAAATTTGTTACAAGCAGCATCTAGCAAAAGACAGACCCTTAACCCTGCCCACCAGGGTTCACACTCTATAAAACCCTGGGGGCCTAGAAATCGCTACATGCACTGCCAAGCACCTGGGACTATTTGCAGTGATTCTCTTAGCAAGGCAAAGGTGATCTATTTTTGCAGGCAGCATGAAAGCAATGGGTGGTGAGAACGATCTCTCCATAGAAGAAGGAACCCAGGATCGGGAGGAGTTCCACCTGGAAGCAGCCTGCCGCACGCCCTCTCTCAGCCACAGTGGTGGCTTCCTTCACAAGACCGCCACTGCCTCCCCGTGGGCCAAATCTGAGTAGCTTATAGCTAAAGGGTGGGATATATCCCACATCTGCCCCCACCTCCAGTCATCTAGTGACTTGCTAGCTGTCTGCTCTCCATACATATCCTGAGCTGGGGAGTAGGTTCCTGAATCAGCTCTACCCTGACATCTGAAGTATGGGAATCGTGTGGTTGCCCATGAGAAGATCTAGAACCTCTACATTCTCGAGAGAAGGAACACTATCCACACAGACCAACAATTCCCAGGACAGGGGCCAGTTTTTCTTTCATGGCTGGACAAGTTTCCTGTATTTACAAAGTTGGGATCCATACAGTACCAGGTGAGGTCCCAGTGACTTAGAGTATAGGGAGCACCAGGACGGGGACTCCCATTTGCTTTGTTCTCAAGGTGAAAACCCTAGACAGAGCATGAGGTCTTGCGTAAAGGCTGAAGGCAGAAGTAAACCCCCAGCCTATTGAGAACCTATTGTGACCGTCTTCTGCCCTGTCCCAAGGGTGCACTGGGAGGGTTAAAGGGGAATGTGTCCCGAGCTTTGGAGGACACTTGTGCACAGTAAACACTTTTTTTAAATGGTCCTTTCCTCCAACATTGATTCCTTCCTTCCGTGTCACATGAAGGCTGCTGGTGAACGGCAAGGTGGCCTAGAAACCAGTGCCCAGAGGGCAAGTGAAGGGAATTCTGTACCCTACTCAACATTTCAGGGACCACTCAGCTTACTCCAGTTCCAAGAATTGAGCCAATACATCATTCAATAGTGCTGTATTGAAAAGGGCACTCCATTCAGCTTTTGGAGCCACTCCTTGACCAAACAGCACAGTTCAGAGAAGCCAAAAGTCCTGACAAGGAACAACAGGGCTGATGGCTCCAAACCATTCTGATGGGAGAAAGGAACAGGCAAGCTGGGAAGGGTCATCTAACAGGCCCATCCCCTTCACCTGGGATCTACCTGGGTGGATCGTCTGAAGACACCTGTTCTCAGACCAGTATTTGGGCCAGAAAGGAAGGTATTCCAATGTCATGGCCAATGTCAGAAACACCCAGGGGTTCTGGGTTAAGGCTGGTAGGGAGCATGGAATGCTGAGGGTTCCTACCTCTCTCTATCCCTAGCCACTTGTTCCTAAGCACAATGAAACACTGGAGCTCACTCACAAGAAGCACCTGAGAGTTCTGGGTCTGAGGAATGTGATGCCAAACCAGGCTTCCTGTCTGGAGGAAAGCAGACCCACATTCCCTTTCCAGCCCCTGGGCCCACGCAGCAGGCTACTGTCAATAGGACCAAGGTCATGCCCCAAGCTTGGGGCTCCCTTCTTTTTGGGTCCTGGTGAGCCTTACTTAGTACACATGCATTCATTCTGTGAATATTTTGAAAACATTTGCAGACCCAGATTTGCCTTGGGGAAATAATATCTTTTGCCTGGACATCAGATTCTCTGGGACAGCTAAAAGCTATGACATGCACTAGACATTCCTTCTGGGACATTTTGTGTTGGGGAGCCTGGCCATCCTGTCATCATGATGCTGCTGAGGCTTCTTACTCATCTTGTGAGGTAGAGGGACCTAATAAAAGTCAATCAGGATTGGTGGTAGATCCCTGAGACCTGAATCCCTGAGATCAGCTGAAGTTCTTTCTTGGGCAGATATGGAGACCTGAAATTCTTCAATTTTACTGCTTTTATTTCTGAACTGGTGGATCAGTTGTCCAGAGAAAGACATGTGTTGCCTTGAACATAATTTCTTTAACATCTGTGAATTTGTGTGTAGCAGGAAAGGCATGCAAGCAGGAATTCAACTATAACTCAAGGAGGAGAAAACCCTGGATCAAATGACTTAACTCATAACCGGATGATAAGTAGGAGGAGCTTCAGAGAGCCACTCCAACCACTGGGACCTGTCAGTGTGCCTTGATATCTGCTGTCTGTGAAAATCCTGAAGTCTTGCTGCTAGCTGACTAATGTTGACGGAGAATTTTTCCACAACATTAGAGGGATCCCTGGTTCCCATTACACTTGAATGTTCAATTAAAAGATCTCATCTCTGAGCTATTTCATTTCCCCCAAATGGAAAGTGAATTAAAAACAGATATAGGCATATCATGCCCATAAAAGGGCCCAGGCAAGGAGCCTCCAATGAGCTGCAGCTTATCAGCAGGGAAGACACTGTGGTTGCATGGGCCACTGTAGTTAGGACACTTCTGACCTGGCCAGCCTGGGTCCCCTCCAGATCTCAGGGTTTATTAAGATTCCTCTCCAGGCCAGTCTCCTGTGCTGTCCATATCACATCTTTGTCACCCTGGCAGCTGGGCCTTTGCAACAGCTCGCCATGGGGGAGCAGTGAGGCCCCTGGTGAGAATCCAGGTAAGTCCATGTCAACCTCAGATGTTCCAGTCCTTCAGTAAAAGCTTGGGTTTGGGGATTCTGGTGATGCTCTGTTCTTGATTTGACACTGATCACATGGATGTGATCAGTTTGTGACAATTCATCAAGCCGTACCGTATCACGCTCCCACTTTTCTGTATGTATATTATACTTCAACTTAAAAAACTCAAAAAGAAAACCCCTAGGGGTGACTGAAAGGACCCCCAGGCACCAGGTTTCTTTCTCCATTCAGTACCAATAAGCGGATTTTAGAAATTAAATGGTTTTAGAAGTCAAACATTCTTCACGATTTTATTCCACAAAGGGCTAAAAATTGCCAAGCAAACTTTGTAGTTTGGAATTATCATCCTCTACAAGGCTGAGCTTGTTGCACGTGTGTCTTTCTTTTCTGGACAAAAATCACAAGAGAGATCTGATGGTAACTCTATGTCCAGGAATTGAGCCATATGGGATTCCTTCTTTCTTTCACCACATCCTCCAAGGGGGTGGGGGGGGGGGCTCAGCAGGTCTTAAAAAACCAGCTAAATGATTTGAAGCCTTCTTTGAGGAGAGAACTCACCCTGCCTTCAGGAGCAGAAAAGTAAGGGGAGAACTTCCATTTGAGGGGACAGGGTTAAGCCATGGCACAAACAAGAGAAGCAAAAGAAGGAAAATCAACTTACACAATACTCTGAGGAGAGGGGCTGTCCTGGTGGAGAACTGTTCCCCCAAAGTGAGCAGGTTTTCTCACCATTGAGTCTACAGAGGCCAGGAGGGGGCCTGGGTGCAGGGAAAGTTGTTCTTGAAGGAAAGGTGGTGAGGATTTGGGGGAAGGCCCCTCTGAGCGAAGCCCAGGCATATGAATAGGAAATTTGCCAGGGGCTTTTCTACAGCCATGTGATCTCCCTGGTGGTAAGAATGTCCTGTGAGACCTGCTTCTCCATAGAAGAATCAGGCAGGTCAGGACAAAGTGGAGCAACTCTAGGGCCTGGAAAGAGCCCTGAGAGCCTGGCTCTGTGGACCCAAGGGTGGAGGCAGAATGCTCACAATCCCAGATCCTCCAGTCTCTCCTTTCCTGAGCCCTGCTCCAGCCTGCCTTCCTAACACTCATTGGGTGCCTTCATCTGCATCAGGACTGCTTGGCTTCTCTTCTTGCAGCAGCAGCAGCAGATGCAGGCAGCCAGGGAACAGGCCAGGGCAATAATGCCAATTACAATGGCGGCAATGGCCAACCCACTTTGGGGCTGGGTCATGCCCCACGTGTTGCGGTCATCTGTGGCCCCAATGGTGGTCAGATCAGTGTAGTCATCCGCAGAGCTAGTGATCTCAGTTGTAGAGGAGATGGATGTGGTGTCAGGATAGCTGGGTGTGTCAGGATAGCTGGGTGTGTCTGGGTAACGCGGCACATCTGGGTACTGTGGTGTGTCTGGGTAACGTGGTGTTTCTGGGTAGCTGGGGTAGCTGGGAACCTCAGGGATGCCTGGGGCCGGAACACTGGGGCCAGTGACATTGATGATGATGATGGATTGTCCTCGAACATTGGCTGGGCTGGAACACACTGGGAGAGTGTCTGTCCCTAACCTACCCTTGTTGATCAGGAGCCAATTGCGGAGCGGAAGGATGCTTGAGTCGCACCTCCAGGGGTTGTCATACAGCCGAAGCTCACACAGGTTCCCCAAGTGATCAAAGATGCCCATGGGCAGGTTCTCCAGCTGGTTGTTCTGCAACTGAATGGTCATGAGACCGTTGACATTGGCGAAGATATTCCCTGGGAGCTGTCTGAGGCGATTGTTCTGCAGAGAGATGTTCTGCAGGTTGGCCAACATGCGGAAGACATTCCCATCCAGGTCCTGCAGCGCATTGGTGTGGAGGGACAGCTCTCGCAGGTCTGTCAGTCCATTGAAGGCACCCGGGGAGATGAAGCTAATCTGGTTGCGACTAAGGATCAAGACCTGCAACTGGTGGAGGTTGCTGAAGATGTTGTCGGGTAGAGAAGTGATGTGGTTGTCATAGAGCCAGAGCTCCTTCAGGTTGTGCATGGGCCCGAAAATCCCTGGGGAGAGCTCCTTCAGGGAGTTCCCAAAGAGTGTAAGTCGGTTGAGCTGGGGCAGGTGCATGAAGATGCCGGGAGGCAGCTGGGAGATGTGGTTGTTGGACAGATAGAGCCTCTGCAGGTTCCGGTTGTTGTGGAAGAGGCCAGGTGAGAGCATGCCGATCTGGTTCTGCTGGAGGGCCAGCTCCTGGAGGTTGCTAAGCCCATCAAAAGTGCCCATGGGGATGTCCGAGAGCCTATTCTCATATAGCCGGAGCACCTGGAGGTTGCCCAGGTGCTGGAAGACCCTGGGTGAGAGGTGGGTGAGGCTGTTCTTGCCCAGATTGAGCTTGGTGAGTCCCACCAGGTGGTCGAAGACGCCATCGGGGACGTATTCCAGGTGATTGCCATGCAGCTGCAATTCCTTGAGGTTGCTGCACTGGGCGAAATGGGCGGGCTGGATCTGCACCAGCTGGTTACTAGACAGAAGGAGAGACTCCAGGTTGTCCAGTCCCTGGAAAAGGCCGACGGGCAGAACCTGAAGCTTGTTGTTGGCGAGGCTGAGGTAACGCAGCGAGCCCAGGTTGCGGAAGGCACCAGGCATGATGTGTGACAGCTCATTCTTCTCGATCCTCAGGGCGATGAGGGCCGAGATGTTGAGGAATGGGGACTCACTGAGTTCGGTGATGTGTGTGTTGAGAATCTGCAGGCTCATGGCGTTCCAGGGCAGAGGCGTGGGCACTGCCACGATGCGTGCCCCCGAGCACTCCACCTGAGAGGCCCTGGAGCAGGTGCACTCACTTGGGCAGCCATAGTAGGCCAAGCCTAAAGTCCAGGCTTGGCAGCCCACCAGCAAGATGAGGTAATGTTTCAGCAGCATGGCCTCTGCAAGGAGACAGTACGTGTTAGTCAGGGTCACCTCACTGACACTGTGACTAGTTCTTTTCTTTGGTGGGGGGTACTGGGGATTGAACTCATGGGCACTTGACCACTAAGCCACGTCTCCAGCCCTATTTTGTATTTTATTTGGAGACAGGGTCTCACTGAGTTGCTCTGTGCCTGGCCATTGATGAGGCTGGCTTTGAACTTGAGATCCTCCTGCCTCAGCCTCCCAAGCTGCTGGGATTACAGTTGTGCACCACCCACCAGGCTTACTATGGCTTGTTTTAAGCCAACACCAACCTTGATATCATCAGCAGTGGCTTGGCCTCAAGTGCTATCTATCATCATGGACCCAGTTCAGTGCTCCCCTCTGCTCTGGTCAGCAAGCCTCTTGGCCTTCCCCCTGCCTCCCCACTTCCAAGCCTTTGCCCAGGTAGTGCCCTCCACTCAGAGTGCTCTTCATCCTCTTCCAAATCTCCCCCATGCTTCTATGTCTAGCTCAAATGCCATCACTTTGAGGAAGCTTTCCCTGTACCACGAATCAGGATTCATTTCCCGCCCGTGCAGGTGGTCTTCCCAATCTCTCCATGGGACATTCCACAGCTGGACAGTCACTGTGTTTCCAACTATTTCCTTCCCTCGTTAATATGCTTTTCAAGGACAAGGGCCACATCTTTCATCCCTACATATTCCTTAAGGTGGGAATTATATCTTATCCAGCCCTGTAGCCTTCATAGCAGCTAAAAGGATGTTTGAACATGGCCTTGTCAGGAGGAACAGAGAAGGAATGAGAACAAATAAATAGGTCCTGAGCCTGGGAAGATGCTCAGCCTACAAACGTGGTGGCCTGCCCGGAGGAGCAGCAGCAGCCAGCAGAGGGAGGACCACACTGCTGGTGTGCAGAAAGATGGAGGGAGAGCCCAGCTCTTCCCCCTCCGCCTTGCCCTGCCCAGCCCATCGCCACCCCAGCAACCTGTCCACATGTGTTTCATGGAGGTTTAATTCAAACCACCTTCCAGTGCAGAGCAACCGTCTGCAGCGGGGGAGGCTGCTGGGCCCCAGCCGATGCCTGGGACCTGCCTCCTGGAACTTGAGTCCCAGTTCCCAGAGGGCCTGAAGTAGGTTCCAGAAAACTTAGACACACTCAGAGAGGCCATCCGTGATCTCTACGCAAGGTTCAAAGGGCCTGTAACTCCTGAAGGGTTGGGAGTAACTGCTGCTCTTCATTTTATGGGGAAGCAGGGAAATGGAGGCTCAATATTAAATCCTAGGTGCCCCTACTCCTAGGTGAGTCCTTTGTTTATGCAGTCTCTCTCTCTCTCTCTCTCTCTCTCTCTCTCTCTCTCTCTCTCTCTCTCTCTCTCTCTCTCTCTCTCTCTCTCTCTCTCTCTCTCTCTTAATGAGCAAAACATCAACGTCAGAGGAAGGAATTGGAAATGATGGCATATAAGGCATACACGGGCTGCGTGGAGAAGGCCCTTGTCCGGCTTCTCCCTGTGCCCCTGAACTCATGGGGGCCTGAGCCTGCAGCATAACTCAAAATAATGCAGGCTTCCTTCCCTGGCCTCTGCTCTACACACTGCTTCCCGACCCTCAACAAGGCGTCTGAGGAAAACCCCAAGCTCATCCCCACCTACACAGGCTGAACTCTTCACTTATTCCCAGCCTGTCCAAGCCCTGACCTGTTATGATTTCATTAAGGATTTAGCTAAGTAACGCAGCACAGTGGTACAAATAAAGGAAAAAGAATAACTTGGCTGACGGAATTTAGACGTGAAAGAATGGGACCAGATGAAGCTGTGGACAGATCTGAAATCATGAACTTGTATAGAAAAAAACCCAAATCCCGAAATTGAAAGCAGAAAACTAACTGCTTAAGCAGGGACCACAGAAAAAGCGGCTCAACCTCCACCCGGAGAGAAGCACTTTATATATAAACATGCACATAGAAAGAGGCTGCCCACAACAACTACCATGACCAGAGACTGCATCAATAGAAGTATCAAGAGTGGAACAAAGGAGATGATAGATAGTCTCAGCTCTACAGTCCCTGATCAGGCCACACCTGTACTGCCATGCTCAGTTCCACTCTGAACTTCAAAAAGGCCAATGACAAAGTGGCTTCTTGAAGAAATTCTCTAGTTGTTAGTGAGAAGACCCAGAAACCAGAACATCTGTGCATCCATTGAAGGAGGGGCAGAGGAATGGCCAGAAAGAGAGAAGGCGTGGGGAGCCCAGGAGCACTCTCCCCAGTATATATGTACAGGGCCACCCTGGGATAAAGAAAGCAACCAAACTCAGCAGTTCCAGAGGTCACAGCTAGTGCACAAAAGTTTCAAAGTGCTGGGTTTTGGCTCACCACCAAAGAGAGTTCTGCAAAGCCCACGGCTGCAGCCTAGAGGTGGTCAGCTCCCCGCTCCTGGAAGTGCTGAAGCAGAGCTGAGCCACCTCCCGATGAGGAAGCTGCGGAGGAGCCTCCACACCTAGTGAGGTATTGGGCAGCCAATGTCCTGTCCATCCCTAAGATTTCAGGATTCTAGGGCCGAGTCCCAGAGGGTGGATATGAGATCCATTTGCAGGATGACTGTGCCTGTGTTCCAGGGCTCTGTGCAGAGGTGTGGGTGTCTGTCCTTTCCCTGGGTGTGTGTGTGTGTGACAGCTGACCCCTAGACGGACTTATAAAAGGTGAGGCTCTGATGGTGCCTGGTGTGGGGCTACCCAGTGCTCATGAATTGTCACCACACACTCCTATGCCCAGCACGCTCCGAAAACAGTGTCACCGGCCAAATACCCAGATGAATTAAGAGCTCGTCACCTGAAAACAACTGTGTTGTTTCCTCACACGTAAATGAGCACGTAGGTGGAGGCTCCTCTGAGGACCCCCCTCTTGATGGCCTTCTCTGAGTCTGCACCCCTTAGCTGGGAGGGGGGTGTCAAGTCAGGCCTGTGGAGGGTCCCTCAAGGGCCAGGAGGAGGAATGGAGAGATAATTCCCTGTGGGAAGAGGGCCATTCCCTGTTGTCTAAAATGGACCACACTCAGTGTGACAAAGATTACAAGAATTTGCAGACTGTCTTTTTATAAACCCTCCCGTCTGCAGAGCCCACCCGGCACCACACGCAGCCAGACGTTTCCTGTTTTCCAGCACTTGTGATTGTCACCGCTCCAACCACCCCCAAAGGGCCCACCCCACCTCAGCCCAATGGCAGGGCCCTCAGGGAAAGGAGGGGCGCAGGAGCAGGCCAGGGCTGGGCCCCTGGGTCCTCAGCCAGTGTGCAGACGTGTGTGGCCCTTGGCCCTCAGGAGCCCAGCACACAGCAGACTAATAGCCCACGCTGTCCAGTGCCGCTTGGCAGCCAAGGGAGGGCAGTTAAAGGCCCACGAAGCACCCTAATTACACCTTCCTCCCTCAGGCAGCCGTGCGCGTCCTCAATCACTGCAGAGACTCGGTCCAGCCTCCGTCCAGCCCCTGGAGAGGGGGTCCACCTGGCGTCTGCCGCTGACCCATGAAGTCAGCGAGCCAGGCAGAGAGACAGAAGGACACCCAGACAGCTCACCTGGATACTGACGCGGCCCCTCCCCAGGAGGAGAAGCGATGGAACCAGGCACGCTGGCGGTGGATCTCCAACAGAAACACCCTGTGACTCATGAGTGAACACATAATTAGCCTTGAAGCCTTGGGCTTTGTTGGTTGGTGAGTTGGGACTTTTGGGGTTTAATACCATCGTTCACATTCCCTAAACACAAAGCTCCTTGGGAGGACACACCTTCTTATTTCAATTGCCACAAAGTAAAACATTCAGAAGGAGCTTGGAAGACCCACATTCTGCTCTGTTCTGAACACTAAGGTACAGGGTGAGCAGAGGTCAGTGCTCCAGGTCTGTTTCCCCTTCCTTCTGTGAGGACTCATTAGGCCTGAGCAGCTCTAATACCTTCTGACTGGAGGCAGCAAGGAGATGCAACTGGGACTCACCTTTCTCCTCTCCTTTCTTCCCACAGGTCACACTGAATCACTTGTAGTGCCACCTGGCCTGGCCTCATCCGCATGCTGAGGCTGAAGGATCCTGTACTCATCTTGTCAGACCCTCCTGGTGTCAGAAGTTTCCAAGCAAGCCAACCCACTAGCCAATCTCACGTCTTCCCATAAACATGGTCATTTCATGGGACCCAGGGCCTGAGAGGGATCCTGCACTCTCCCAGGCCACCTGGGGAAACTGAGGCCCCGGAAGAGGCTTCCCCGGGTCTAGGCCCTCTCTTTTCAGAGGGCTTCTTAATTGTGGCCTTTTCTGCAATGAGATGGTCCCCAAGCAGCCTGAGGTCTCCCATGCCAGGCTTGGAGCTGTGTCCCGCTCCCAGCAGCCAGGCTTGTCCTCAGGACAACACCCTTGCTCTTGCTCTTTGGTGCTCAGTGCATTGGATCCAAAGTCACTGAAAGACTCAGCCTGGAGTCCAGGCCTCCGTGGGTGCAGACCTCCCTTTCTTACTGACCTCACCCCAGAGCACCACGTTCAAATGGCCAAGAAAGCTTGTTTAAGAACTGAACTCCCAGGTTTTCCACTGGAGTCTTAAGTGAGTTAATACATGGAAAACACCTAGACTCATTCTTGGCATAAAGTGAGTACACAACAAATGTGAGTGATGACTGTTGCTATTTCATGGGAGAGTAAAATCAGATCTCTGGAAGCTCCACCCATAGAGACCCTGATTTCTGGATCTCTGGATCTCCACCCACAGAGATCAACAATTAACAAACCCCCAAGCAGCTCCAACGCAGGGGTCCACAGACCACACTCGGATACACCTAGTGTGGCCTAGTCCAGCTGGGAACCCACACCCATCGCCTGTACCACTTACTACCAAGAGCAGAGACAGAGAACCAGGATAGGGAGCCGGAAGGTCATGCCACAGGCTGGTCCAGCTCCCTCTGTCAGCATTTCCTTCAGCGGCCCATTCTGCACCCCGTCAGGAATCCACAGTTTGCCTTAAGTTGAGCCCAAACATAG